TAACCCTCCGGGGTTAAAAATCCGAACGAAATCTTATCTTATCTTATCTTATCTGACAGGTGCAGAGTTATGTAAACAAACCAGGCGAACGCAAGTTTTGTGAGCAAGCCAGGCATACACGTATGGTTTGTGTACAAGTTACATTGTGTACAAGGTGTTTCTACATTGATATTGTAGAAGAAACAAAGAGGAACACTCCCATTCTCATGTAACACCATTTTTAGAAGAAATGACGCTCTGAGTGAAGGGAATGGAAATAAGTCACCCTGACTTTTTTGGGTTATCCTAGGTACTTTACACATATTCTGTTATGTATGATAGTCTATGTAACTATATTTGTGTATACCTGAATAAACTTACATATGAAGGGAGTGATTTTATACAGTTACCCCCAGTAACACATTTTCTCTTATGTTGGACTTGAGAAAATGTTATTCTACTGTGGGGTGTATTTATCATCTTTATATGTTATGTATTGTGTTTATTATATCATTTTGAAGAAATATCATAGATGGATTAACGAAAATATGTATATTAACAGTGATTATTATTATTATTACTAATATGGTGTCTCGAGGCATAAGACACTCTTAGTGATTTTAATGTGTACGTGCACGCCAACACAGTATGTAAGTTTATTTAGGTACAGGTATACGTAAGTATAATTATCAGAGTATACATAAAATATGAAATAACTTAAAAACACTTGAAATTTTGGAGTTTTGGAGTTGGTGCTTAAGAATCTCACGGAGAATGTAAACAAACCAGGTGGGGCATGATGGCCGTACTAGAGTCAGGTGGGGGGAGCCGTAAAGATAGTTTTGGTCATAATTTGAAATGATCCTGTTAGCGGAATGCCGAAAAGCAAAACGCCATAAAGCGGGGCCCTACTTTATTAACGTAATATGTGACATTTAATGAGATTCATTGATTATTATTATTATTACTAATATGGCATCACTCGTACAAGTCGTCTGGCTACCACTTCTCATATTTATGTTTATTTATTCTACTGTGGGGTGTATTTATCATCTTTATATGTTATGTATTATATTTATTATATAATTTTGAAAAAATAACATAGATGGATTAATGAAAATATGTATAGTAATGTAATATACGACATTTAATGAGACTCGGTAATCATCATCAATCATCATCATCATCAATCATCATCAATCATCATCAATCATCATCAGTCATCAATCATCATCGTCATCATCATCATCATCATCATCAATAATAATATGGTGTCTCAAGACATAAGACACTCTTACTGTTTTTTATGTGTACCTGCACTCCAGCACAGTGTGTAAGTTTATTTAGGTACAGTATACATAAGTATAATTATCAGAGTACGTGTATAAATAAAATGTGAAATACCTTTTAAAAACACTTGAAATTTTGGAGTTTCCGGACATAATGGAGAGGCGTGGTGCTTTCAGAGGTCATGGAGAATGTAAACAAACCGGGTGGGGCACGGTGACCATTTTAGAAAGTCAGGTGTGGGGAGCCATATAGAGAGTTTTGGTCATAATTTGAAATGACCGTATTAGCAGAACACTGTAAAATGAAACGCAGTAAAGTGGAGCTCTACTGTATTATTATTATTATTATTATTATTATTATTATTATTATTAATTTCTTTTTTCTCTCTCAGTTGTTTGTTGGGCTATCATAATGAAACTTGGGCAATGTATAATGGAAAGATGCTTCTTAACATACACCAAAAATGAAAGAAATCAGACCATAAATAACGGAGTTCACTTCTCAGCCCTTAGCGGATCCATAGCTGTGTATTTTCGTATGGTTTTTAGGGTTGTATTCTCATTTCTTTTGTCTCATATGATAGAATGGAAATAGATATGATTTTCATTGCTTTGATGACGAAAAGTACCTTGAAATTGCGCTCACACTAGCAAAAATGTTCGATTCTTTAGCAATGTTCAAGAGTAAACAATTGACGTCACTGTCTAATACTTGTGTGCCTTAGATTTTGCCACCGAAGTGGCTAGTTTATTGTGCACCCCATATCCATCCTGTGGACGGTAGCGCGAGAGCATGTGGATACACAAAAGGCCTAGGAACTAGGCCCCAAAGGGTTAACAGGAATACATATGGATTTATATCTACATATCTATAGTTCACTTATCTGTTACAAGCAAATTTAGGAAATTTGCTTAGTATATCTGGTATCTTATTTTCATTAATAAGATATCTTGACATGTCACATAGGTTATTATACTGTCTGTCTCTGTATTCTTCAATAAGTGGACAATTAAGCACATAGTGTTCAGAGAGTGACCATATGCCTGATCACATAATTTACATTTAGTTTGATCATCATCTGTGTGTCTCCCAAACTGCCAGAAGTACTTGTAACCAAGCCTAAGCCTGGCCACTACAACATCATCAGTCTGTTCACATTGCAAGTTGCTCCATAAACATACTTATCTACGTTCATGTTATCATAGTGGGTTATAGATCTACTCAGGCTTCTAACTGCATTCCTATAACAATCATCTTCATTATTTACTTCTCTCCTAATATTATTCCTAATGCTAGACACAGTTATACCAAAGTTATATTCTACGTTCTCCTTCTGGATACTCTTCTTGGCTAACATATCAACTTTATCATGAAGGAGTAATCCAATGTGTGATGGGATCCATAGCAATTGTACATTAATTCCTTTGTCCCTAATTTTTGAGTATCTATACCTGGCTTCCCCAATGAGCATGTTGTTGGAGTCATTATATGAGCCAAGAGCCTTCAATGATGACATAGAATCAGTAATGATGATATAGTCAAGCTCAGTATCATAGGTTAGCTTTAGCGCCATTAGGATTGCAAACAATTCAGTTTGCAGTGTAGACGCCCAGTTGTTAATTCTTATGCCTTACTCAACAAATTTATTATCGTTCTTAACTAGGGAGGTGGCAACAAGAGCAGATGCAGCCCTGCCAGAAGACTCCTGTTTAGATCCATCAATGTATATAACTTGTGATAACTTATTACTACCAGCTAGGCGAAAAATTTCTTCTTGAGCAGTTGCTCTAACAAGAGATTTAAGGAAGGGATTACTAGCAATGAGCTTCTTGGGAGGGACTTGTAGTATGTGATATTAAATGAACACATCTTCCATGGAGGGGTGAAATGCTCTTGTTGCCTACAGTGATACAGTTCATGCAGGTTATAAAACTTAATGCAATTGCACGTTTTCACAATCCATTTAGATCTGTGTGTATTTACCTCTAGACACTTGGTAAGATTCACTGTGACAGTGTCTGGTTCGTTTCTCAACATTCTAATACCGAGTACAGTGTTAATTTCAACAATCCTATCACTGATACTAGAAATACCAAGCTCCTTCCTCATGTTAAGAACTTTTGTAGATCTGGGACAGCCAAGAATAGTCCTGAGAGCTTCATTTTGCATTAACTCCAAGGGTCGGAGGGAACTTTCTCTAGCTAATATCAACATGGGAGCAGCATAATCAATTAAGGACCTAACATAGGCTATGTACATCATTCTCACGATTCTCACATTAGCACCATAGTTGGGATTGTAGCCAGCAACAGCTTTGAGAGCATTTAGCCTAGCTTTACATTTCTTGTTTAGTTGTGGTATAGTGGATTTGTTAAAGGGTACATCTACACCAAGATATCTGTAAGTTTTAACGTAGCTAATGATTTCACCCTGCAAATAGATGGGTGGGGGATGTCGTTTGCTTGTTAATATCTTTGTTTTAGAGGAAGATATTATGAGGCCTAGTCGATTACAAATTGCTTGAACTTCATTAAGAATGGTATTCATCTTCTTATGCCCTGTTGTATGGATCATGATATCATCAGCATAGCTTATAGCTATATGTTTAGGTGAGGCAGGTAGAGCATTTAGGAGAGCATTAATCAGAATATTAAATAGCATGGGACTAAGAACTCCTCCCTGCGGTGTACCTAAAGACATTTCTTTAGAATCACTTCTGAAGCCTTGGTAAAGGACAGAGGATACTCTATTTGACAGGTATCCTATTATCCAGCAGAGTAAGCTACCACCAATATTCATTTTGGCTAGTTCATGTAGTATAACGGTTCTGTTTGCAATATCAAATGCAGATTTTAGATCAAGAAAAGTGGTAAAACTAGTAGAGGTGTGTGCAGTGAGAAAGGTGGAAATACAGTTCTGCACACTTTTACCTTTCATGAACCCATAGAGGTAGGGGGAAAGTTGATGTCTGATTCTGTAGTACAATCTGTTAAGCATCATTCTTTCAAAAGTTTTGCAAAGACAACTAGTTAAGGAGATCGGCCTAAATGTATCAGGCTGTTGGGGCTTAGGGATAGGCACAATGAGACTATTGGTCCAGGAAGTAGGAAGAACGCCCTCAATGTAACTGAGATTATACAGTGCCTGTGTGCCTGCAAGTCCAAATTCCAATATGCAGTCAAGAATGAGTTGACATTATTTATACAGTTATTACAATAATGCAGTAGTATGCATAACAGTAAATCTTCTATTTTTTGTGTGAATACAAATTCCAAATAGTAAGCGAGAGTAATATAAGAGGGGCCTGGAGATGTGACTAATGAACAGAGAAAATGTTATTTTATTGCCAGGAATATCTGAATTGTTTATTCTGGACCCTATTTTGAAATGGCATCTGTTGAAATTTGATGTAGTGTAAAGTTTGTCTAATGTTACTTTCAGTTGCTGTGCATTTTGTTCAGTTGAAATTTCATTTAGTGTAAATTTCACTTTGTTACTCTTCTCTGGAATGCTCACTGTTATTTTATGTAATGAAAAACACTTCTGTACTTAGAACTCTCTCTATCTTTATTTGCTGTAACTAACAATTAATAATAATAATTAATAATAATAATAATAATTATTATTATTATTATTATTATGTTATTATGATTATTATTATTATTATTATGTGTTATTATTATTATTATTATTATTATTATTATTATTATTATTATTATTATTTACTGTAGGTATGATGGTGGTTTGGAGGTTGAGGTGTGGTCGCACTTACCCCAAGGTTCAGGACTAGGAGGTAGCAGCCTCCTGGCAGGAACGTTGTTGTCAGCCATTGTTGTGTTGCTGGGTCATCCAGCACCCAGACCCTCACACCTCATCCATGCCACACTCTGCATCGAACAGTGGCTGACAACTGGTGGTGGATGGCAGGACCAGGTCTGTTGTCTTCCTTGTTTCCTTCTTGGCTTCATAACTATCAGCACTCACAACATGGCTTCATAACTATTCAAGGCAGGGGAAATTGCTAACCTAGAGAGCATATGAAGAACTTTCATGGCACACATTCAATTCAGATTCAGATTTATTTATTTATTTGCAAGTAGTACATTGTGGCTATGTATTTACAATAATTGGGTGCAGTGCAAAGAGAGCCTCTATTATGCCTAGGCATTATGGGCCGACTTAATTTAACCTTTTGACTGTTTCGGCTGTATACATACACCTTATGAGCCAGTGTTTCAGACATACAGTGCACCCTCAACTAATGGCGGCATCAAGTAATGGCAAATTCATCTAACGGAGCTCTTTGGCATAAAAAAAATGGCTCTACCAATGGTGAAAAATTCATCTAACGACATTCGTCCCAAACTTGTCCATGGGGCCAGAGCGCGGTGGCCTGAGCGGACTCAGCCACTCCAAGACTCCATGTACAGCCAGTGTGCCAGTGTTTACAAGCCGTTTCGGTTGATTCCAAGTGTACCTGCGATATATTTTGTATTATTCCAGTGTCTTTAGTGCTTGTAACTGCTAAATAAGCCACCATGGGCCCAATGGAAGTTTCTAGTGCCAGCCCTGTGATAAAGAAGGAAAGAAACACAATAAAATTCAAGAAAAAACTCGTAGCAAAGTACCAAAGTGGAGGAGGAAGAGAGAGGGGAGAATGTGCCTTCTTCAGTGAATAAGTGATTCTACGACATGTATGATACTAAAGCAGCAGGTATCGATAAAGGCTATATTGCCAGCCAGTGATAAAGTGTGGAATTAACAGTGTAGTAAGTAAGCGATAGAAAAACGACACGAGAGTAACTCTCCAATGTTATTGGATGTGTGCACATTCGCTGAGCATACACCTGCCTGCTATCTTCTACTACTCTAAACCTCTGCCAGCATCTCCTCCATCAAACGAATTAATTAAACTAACATCTCCAAGGTAAGTGTAAATATTAAGGTGTAAGAATAAAAGTAAATATACAGTGGACCCCCGGTTTACAATCAGCTCCCAATGCGACCAATTATGTAAGTGTATTTATGTAAGTGCATTTGTATGTGTATGTTTGGGGGTCTGAAATGGACTAATCTAATTCACAATATTCCTTATGGGAACAAATTCGGTCAGTACTGGCACCTGAGCATACTTCTGGAATGAAATAATATCGTAAACCGGGGGTCCACTGTATTAAGTGTAAATGTAAAAGGACCCCAATGAAAATACTTAAGTCACTCTGACATTTTTGGGTTATCCTAGGTACTTAACACATGCTGCGATGTATGATAATCTATGTAACTGTATTTGTGTATACAGTAGGGCCCCATTTATATGGCAGGTTAGGTTCCAGGCTACCTCGGCAAAGCAGAAATCGCCGTAAAGTGGAACACCCTTTTTTCCCCTTATAAATGCATACAAATACTAGATAACAAGTTTACACTAACATATATTAAGTTAGCAATAGAACTAGGCATCAAAAAACAATAAAAAATTAAAATACACACACATAGTGCACTCATTACTTACCTTAAAATATTTGTAGTCTTAATCTATGGTGAGACAAGTAGTATTTATTGTAAGAAATCAAGTGTGTTATGTATGGTAGTCAGCCAGGCTACCATACCAGGCCACCCCACCTACACATAATATTCTATGATATTTCAGCATCCCAGAGCAATAAAATGCATATGCCGTTCACTCATTACTTACCTTAAAATATTTGTAGTCTTAATCTAGGGTGAGATGAGTAGTATTTATTGTAAGAAATCAAGTGTGGTATATATGGTAGTCAGCTGGGCTACCATACCAGGCCATTCCACCCACACATACTATTCTATGATATTTCAGCATCCCAGAGCGATAAAATGCATATACAGTTCACTCATTACTTACCTTAAAATATTTGTAGTCTTAATGTAGGGTCATGGATGAGTAAACGAGATAAAATGAATAAATGAGAGAGAGAGAGAGAGAGAATGAGTACATGAGGGAGGACAGGCGCAGAGTTACGTAAACAAATCAGGCGAACGCAAGTTTTGTAAACAAACAAAGTGTACATGTCTGGTTTGTGTATAAGTTACATTGTATACAAGTTGTCTCTACATTGATACAGAAGAATAAATAAAGAAGAACACTCCCATTCTCATGTAACACCATTTTTAGAAGAAATGACGCTCTGAGTGAAGGCAGTGGAAATAAGTGACTCTGTCTGACTTTTTTGGGTTATCCTAGGTTCTCTACACATATGCTGTTACGCATGATAATCTATGTAACTGTACAGTAGGGCCCCACTTATACGGCGGGTTAGGTTCCAGGCTGTCGCCGGAAAGCAGACATCGCCGGAAAGCAGAACGCCATTTTTTTCCATTTATAAATGCATATAAATTACAGACAACAAGTTTACATTAAATTATATTAAGTTAGTAATAGAACTAGGCATTAAAAACACAAAGTAAAATACATTTACAGTACATTCAATACTTATCTTAAAGTACTCATAATCTTAATGTAGGGAGAGAGGCGAGTAGTACTTATTTGTCGGAAGTCAGGTGCAGGTAGCCCAGGTGCAGGTAGCCCAGGTGTAGGTAGCCCTGGCTCCCCATCTCATACTTAATATAAGGTATTTAAAACATCCCAGAGAGGTAAAATACACATACAGTACACTCATTATTTACCTTAACATATGTGTAGTCTTAATATAGGAAGAGAGGTGAGTAGTATTTATTTGTAGGAAGTCAGTGTAGGTAGCCAGTAGGTGTAGCCCGCCTGGGCTACACCTACCGGCTACCTACACTGTGGCCCAGAGCCATATTATTAACCCTTTCAGGGTCCGTCCCATAGATCTATGGCTTTACGTTCAGGGTCCAAACCGTAGATCTACGCCAAAATTCTAGCGGCGTCAAATTTAGCGCGAGAAGGCTGGTAGGCCTACATCTGAGAAAATAGATCTGGGTGGTCAGTGTGCACACAATAGAAAAAATCTGGATTTCCCCCAATTTAAGCCCTATTATCGGCCAATTCCATTGTACCAGTCAACAAAAATTGTAACTATTTCACCAGAACTCCACTTTTTCTATCGAATGAGTACAAGAAACCACCCATTTACTGATTTCAACTATCCAATAATGTGGTCAGAAATTGGCAATTTTGCCAGTTTCACACAAATTTCAGATGATGCCAATTTCCAAATAGGGTCCAGAATAAACAAGACAGACATTCTTGGCACTAAAATAACATTTTTTTCTGTTCATTAGTCACGTCCCCAGGCCTCTGTTACATTTCTTTTGCTTTCCACTTTGAATTTTTATTCATACAAAAAAATAGGAGATTTATTGTTATGCAGACTACTGCATTAGTGTAGAAATGGTATAAATAATATCAGCGCACTTGTGAAAGAAGATTAGACTCACCAGTTGATGTGTATTGGACTCATGGCATGATTTGTTTACTTTTGAACTTTGGCAAAAGTCGAACTTTTAGCTCGATATCAAGGTACTTTTCATTGTAAAACCAATCAAAATCATCTCAATTTCTGTAATATATCTTCCATTCTTTAAAATGAGACCAGAAAACTAGAATACAACCATAAATACCATGTGAAAATACACTGAAAATATACTTTGCACACTGACCACATAGACCCATTCTTTCATATGTAGGCCTACCAGCTTTCTCTTGCTAGATTTGAAGGAGCTAGAATTTATGCGTGAAAGTAAGGCACCAACCCTGGTGTGCAAGCCGTACTAGTATGGCACCAACCCTGAAAGGGTTAATATCTGTTGTTACAATATTATTATTATATCACTGATAAAATCCATATACGTAGTCTTTAATCTAAAACTGTGCATATTTTTTCTAGCATCTGTGCATATTTTTTCTAGTAACTGCAATAACAAGTCATTGTCTGGTGCTACATTATCTTATAATTTCGTGTTAATTGCTTTATACATAGTAAATACTATAGTTCATTAATAGCTTAAAACATTGTCAGCACTTAAGTTCATTATGTCTATTATGTTCTACTTAACCAACATTAACTACACAATTGTCCAAACATCCCCTTATTACAGATATCATTATTGGTGCTCAACATACTATAAATAATATAAATAATTACCATTTAACCTAAATGCTGAATGATTAAATAGACTCGGATCTAAATCTATATAATCTAACTCCTAATTAAAATTTAATGGAAAGTAACTGCATCTATTACACAGCATTTCATGCCAGCATTGTCCTAAGTAAGGCCAGACATATTACAGTTCTCAATTACAATATTAGGTTCCTAAGTAAACTCTATGATGACCTCCTTGTACTCCTTGAGTCCCTCAAGACAACCTTCTCCTGCCACTTGCAGAAGTGTAGATGAATGGTTCACAGAACCGACACGTTGATAAATTAGACACATGTGCAACCCAAGAGTTGCTCATGTGTCTAATTTATCCACTTGCAGAAGTGTTGCCAATATACCTTTTTTTCTATTTTTCATATTTTATGTAATTTTTATGTTCGTATAATTACAATTTGTAGTAGTTCTTGTCATTTCATAACCAATCTTTGTTCTGACACTAGTACAGTATTAGGTACTGAAATTGTACTCAAATTGTCACAAACACACTGAGAGGTGGACATTTACACCTGCCTTGGTCATTTATTATTGTCTTGGAATATATACAGTGGAACCTCAAATATCGAACTTTCTTCGGTCCAGAAGGCTGTTCGAGTGCCTTTACCGAATGAATTTATTCCCATCAGGAATAATGTAAATTAGATTAGTCCATTTCAGACCCTCAAAAATACACTTATAAAAGCACTTACAAAAATACACTTACATAATTGGTTGTGTTGGGAGCAGTTCGATTTTTGAGGTTCCACTGTACAAAGTATTTATAGGTCTCAGCAATGTTTTGGATATGTGGAAGTATGTAATAAGGAGGAGGAGGAGGCAGCGGCGGCGGCATAATACATAATAGGTAACAATAAGTTCCCTTGAAGCATGAAAAACAAAGTCCATCCCTGACAGTGACATAATAAGATGAGATAACATCTGATAAGAGCTGACGTTTGATGAACATACATGAGGGTGGGGGAGGGTGCAGCTGATAAGAAAAGATTAGAGGTGATATTTGATGAGCATCGCCCTCACTTTGTTTTCGCTGGTATACAAACATGTCTGTCTGTCTGTCTATTTGTCTGTCAAGCTCCCTGTTTATCTGTCTATCCGTCAACTCCTGTAACAGGAAAATACAAATATGAAAGAGTCACAGAAAAAATGAATATTGAGCTTCGTCGAACATCCAATTGGGAAAAGAAATGGAGAATTACGACTAACCCTGACAAAGTCCTGGTTAGCATGATAGGATGTTTTGCATCAACCATCGAAGATAAGGGGGGGGGGTATCTCCATCAGAGGTACACCTATAGCCATTAGAAATCCTAACAAGATCTTGGGATATGAAATAGACAGGCTGCTCCACTCAACATCTCACGTCAATAAAAAGATCAACATAGCCAAAGCCGGTCTTAGCAGTCTCTTTAGATTTAATCAAACCCCTTCACATGTCAAAAAACATCTGTATAAAATGATGATAAGACCAGTACTCGAATACCCATGTGTCCCAATGTCGTTAACAACAAAGATCAACATGCTAAAGTTGCAACGGGTCCAGAATAGAGCTCTCTGCTTTATTACGGGTACCAGGAGGAGAGACAGAGTCAAAATGGCAGATTTACACGTACAACAGGATATTACTGCCTTAAATGTACACCTTGATATGCTGAAGAAGAGACAACTCTATGCAATGCAAGAACTCTACATACCAGATAGAAAACATCCTCTCCAAGTTGAAAATACCACTGGCTATATCATTAATACTCCTCCTCACAGGACCCAAAGAATGACTCCCACAGAGGGTGCATCGCTTCATCCATAAAGACGATTACCACGACCAATGATCTTGAGCAACCTCCCTGCAGATGAAGATGATTGGGTAACACCAGAACCCTTCTATGTCTACTAAGAAAATTATCGCCCCTAATTAGGGAGATATCTTGTATAACATTTCTACTTCTACATCTACTGTCATAAATATGCTACATTTACTATGGCGGGACACCACCTAGAAAGAAGCTAACATGTCAAGTAATTCTTTACGAACTGTCCAGATTACCGCCCTGTCTTGTCGTTTAAATATTCGTTATGCAATCGCAAAAAAAAAACGAAGAAAGCAATTGCAACTTGTATATCTACTACCAATAATTCAGAGTCATGTACCTATATATCTGTTATATCTATGTGACTCTGATGGGTTAGTATTATACCCCTTCAAGAATATTCTATTATTTCACATACACTTTTTAAATTGCACCAAAGTGGTTGGGCACTTACCTTTTATATTCTACCTCACTCCCCCCTCCCACCTTTTTATATCCTACCTCACTCCCCCCTCCCACCCTTTTATATCCTACCTCACTCCCCCCTCCAACCCTTTTATATCCTACCTCACTCCCCCCTCCCACCATTTTCCAATATTTCTATCCTTACCCATCTTACCAAAGACTCTGGTCATAAGAATCGAATAGAATGCAAGGAATCGTCCTCCCTGGCTTGTAAACAATGGCACACTACCTGTACATGGGTTCAGGCTGCACGGACACGTTCAGGATGAATGCCCTTAACCGAGTTTTTGGGCATTATCCGAGCCAGTATTTTGATGCAAAAACATGCCACTATCCAATTTTAGCGTTAGCCAATGCCACCGTTACCCGAGGGTCCACTGTATATAGAAAGCCACTTGTTATGCAGAGCATTGTGGGCAGATTAGGTCAGTTTTGTCCCAGGATGTGACCCACACCAGTCAACTAACACCCAGGTACTCATTTTACTGATGGGTGAACATAGACAACCGGTGTAAGAAAACACGCCCAGTGTTTCCACCCAGCCTGGAATCGAACCCGGACCGCATGAAGTGAGAGTTTTTGCCACCAGGTCACGGGCCACGGTTACAGAGGTCTGAGCCAATTGTCCTCAAAGATGTGTTAAGTTATACCATGAATTAAAAAACGATTCTAGACTTCATCTTACGAAACAGACAAAGCAAGTATGATAGTAATTATGGACAAGGTAGATTACAGTGGAAAAATTAAATTACATGCCCCTTAAGCTTGCCCAAAATACTCTGCATAACCATGGACTCTTGACATGCATTTAAATATCACGTTATTGTACAAACATTGTATCGTGTTGAAATAGACTTGTACAGCGGTACCTCGAGTTATGAACTTATTTTGTTCTAGAAGACTGTTCGAATGCCAATACCGAATGAATTTGTTCCCATAAGGAACAATGTAAATTAGATTAATCCATTTCAGACCCCCAAAGATACACTTACAAAAGCACTTACAAAAATACACTTAGATAATTTTTCCAATTGGGAGCTGTTCAAAACTCGGGGTACCACTATACATATTTGTATTTAAAGGTAAGGCAAATAAAAAGCACAGCTTTAGTTGTTGCTTTCACTATGCTGTCTCTTAATATCAGAGCTGAATTACCCTTCTGGGTTTAGCACTTTCCATGAATATAATATATTTTCATTTATTGATATAACACTGTGTGTTTCATATTTCTCATGTTTATAATGAAGTTTATTGTTAGGTTGGTGGTCTTGTTGGAGGAGGGAAGCTTGGTGTGAGCAGCCAGGGAACACCCGTCACGGTCTCCACTTATAACATTCCTCTCTCCCACACATTTGTCACCTCCATTAATCAGCATCTTCTCTTACTTTACACAGGCAAGGTATGTTTGAGTAATGTTTTCTTTATACAGTAATCCTCACTTTATACAAGTTGTATATTTAGTTTATTTTAAGTTGGAGAGTATAATTCAAATGTGTAACTGCAGATTTCACTGTTTTATTTGTAAAATAGTGTGAAATTTTTTACTCCCATTTCTTGTTTCTTTCAACAAACCGGCCATATCCCACTGAGGCAGGGTGGACCAAAAAGAAAAACAAAACTTTCTCTTTTTAACTTTAGTAATGTATACAGGAGAAGGGTTACTAGCCCTTTGCTCCCAGTATTTTAGTTGCCTCTTACGACATGCATGACTTGCAGAGGAAGAATTCTGTTCCACTTTCCCATGGAAATAAGAAATAAATAAGAACAAGAACTGGTAAGAAAATAGAAGAAAACCCAGAGGGGTGAGTTTATATATGCTTGTACATGCATGTGTAGTGTGACCTAGGTGTAAGTAAAAGTAGCAAGACATACCTGAAATCTTGCATGCGTATAAGAGACAAAAATGACACCAGCAATCCTACCATCATGTAAAGCAATTACGGGTTTCTGTTTTACACTTTGCAGGATGGTAGTACTTCCCTGGGTGGTTGCTGTCTATGAGCCTACTACCTATTATTCCCATTTAACATCACTAATTAATTTTCAGTTTACCTCTTCTCAGCAGCTAAAGTACAGTAGGGCCCCGCTTTACGGTGTTTCACTTTACAGCTTTACGCTAATAAAGACATTTCAAATTATGACCAAAACTCGCCATACGGCTCCCCCACCTGACTTTCTAACACAGCCACCGCACCTCACCCGGTTTATTTACATTCTCTGTGAGCTCCCCTAAGCATCACGTCTCTCCATTATGTCTGGAAACTCCAAAATTTCAAGTGTTTTTAAAAGTTATTTCATATTTTATATATATATACTCTGATAATTATGCTTATGTATACCTGTACCTAAATAAACTTACACATTATGCTGGCATGCAGGTACACATTAAAATCAGTGTCTTATGTCTCAAGACCCCATATTAGTAATGATAATAATAATCCTCAATAATAATCACTGAGTCTCATTAAATGTTGTATATTACGTTAATATACACATTTTCATTAATCCATCCATGATATTTTTTCAAAATTACATAATAAACACGATACATTACATATAAAGATGATAAATGCACCCCACAGTGGAATAAATTAACATAAATATGAGATGTGGTAGCCAGACGACTTGTACAAATGATGGCAAAAATAACGTTTTGTCTAGTCTAACATAAGAGAAAATGTGTTACTGGGGGTAACTGTAGAAAATTATTCCTTTTGTATACCTTCACTCAGAGCGTCATTTCTTCTGAAAATGGTGTTACATGAGAATGGGAGTGTTCCTCTTTATTTATTCTACCGTATCAACATAGAGACAACTTGTACAGAATGTAACTTGTACACAAACCAGACGTGTTCACCTGGTTTGTTTACAAAACTCGCGTACACCTGGTTTATTTACATAACTCTGTGCCTGTCCTCTCTCATGTGCTCATATTCTCTCTCTCTCTCTCTCTCTCTCTCTCTCTCTCTCTCTCTCTCTCTCTCTCTCTACTCTCTCTCATCATCATCTCTTCTCTCTCTCTCTCTCTCTCTCTCTCTCTCTCTCTCTCTCTCTCGTCTCTCTCCTCTCTCTCTCTCTCCCTCTCTCTCTCTCTCTCATCTCTCTCTCTCTCTCTCTCTCACTCTCTTCTCTCTCTCTCTCTCTCTCTCTCTCTCTCTTCCTCTCTCTCTCTCCTCTCTCTCTCTCTCTCTCTCATCTCTCTCTTCTCTCTCTCTCTACTCATCTCTCTCTCTCTCTCTCTTCCCTCTCTCTCTCCTCTCTCTCTCTCTCTCTCTCCTCTCTCTCTCCTCTCCTCTCTCTCTCTCTTCTCTCTCTCTCTCTCTCTCTCTCCTCTCTCTCTCTCTCATCTCTCTCTATCTCTCTCTCTCTCTCTCTCTCTCTCTCTCTCTCTCTCTATCTCTCTCTCTCATTTCCTATCCTTCTCTTTCTTCTCACTCTGACATCATACATTTATCTAATATCTTAAGTAATTATACATCTTTATTGCTACATGGGATCTCAAAGTCATTGAATATTTCGTGTTTGGGTCTATATTTATTGGCTGTATGGTGCCCGGGTACATACTAAACTTGATTCTTACAATAAATACTACTCATCTCACCCTAGATTAAGACTACAAATATTTTATGGTAAGTATATGTGCATTTTACTTTTTTATTGTTTTTAATACCTAGTTCTGTTGTTAACTTAATATATGTTAGTGTAAACTAGTTATCTAGTATTTATGTGCATTTATAAGTGGAAAAAAAGGGTGCTCTACTTTACGGCGATTTCCGCTTTATGGCGGTAGCCGGGAACCTAACCTGCTGTGTAAGTGGGGCCCTACTGTATTTAGTAGTTGATGCATCTTAGGGCCAGGTTAGTATCTATTAAGTTTTGTTAGCATGCAGGCAAATTTGTTGATGTAGCAAAATAATTAAAAAAAAAAAAAAGACTTTGAATCATTGGAATCTGTGCCATAACTGGAGAAGGACTTATCTGATACGATTGAAATTTTCACCACAAGTGTTGTTTCCTGAACACAAAGATCACACTGCCATTGGGTGGCATAAGTCCCAATTTGCCAGTTTTATTGAATAAATAGTGGCATTTTCTATTCTTCTGATGACTTCAAAATATTATTGATGATACATTCTATAATAAGGATGATAACCCACAAGTCTGAGTTGGTGTAAATTTGAAATTTTACTGAAATAGTTAAAAACTTGGAATCATTGGAACTAGATCAATTACTATAGAATATCCTTTGTGATTGGTTTCCAGATTATACCACTGATGGGCTATGTTGAAGCACAGCTTGTCACTCACTCTCTTCTGTGTAAAATTCATTTTTCCAATTTTATTAAGCAAATTGTTTCCCACATAATAACTAATGAATGCCTGTTTTGATTAGCTTAAATCCTAATAGGAAGGATTTTTGTATTAATTTTGTGTTGTGCAAGTGCCAATTTGCCAACTGTTTTTGTACTTATATCAAAATGGATTTTTTAACATCTAAATAATTTTTTTTTTATGGAACTGTGGAAGGATTTAAGCAGAATATAAATCAGAAAAATAAACTGAAAAAAAAAAATCAGTTTTGTTTTCTTTTAGATTTAACGAGAGACTTTCTAATTTTTTTTCAGGATATTCTCAGCAACATTTTTGTTTGCTTTCTCACAAATTTTTGTTTATTACTTGAGAACATTTTATTCAATCAGTTTCAAGTTTTCAACAATTGTGTAATGTATCGTGGGCAAGATTATACAAATAAATACAAATTAAAATTTATATCCTTTCTGCAGTATACAGGTAGTGTAGTTTACATGTAATATAATATTGTTAGGCACCAAAGAAAGCCACAATTATGCAGTTTTTTTGGGGCAGACTAATACTAATGCTTAAAGACTACTAAAGAACTAGACATGGATTATTAAGTAGGAGTTTTTAAATGTACAACAAGAGAGGTAGCTGAATGAACAATAGTACAATTTTAGATAATGCATTGATACTTCAAATTCTATTTTTTTTTCTTTTTATGGTATACAAAGTGTGATTTACATGAAATAAAATATTGTTAAGTACAATGAAAGCCATTAACATGTCTGAGCATTTCAGGTAGACCAATACTAACGTTGACACACTACTTAAAACTAGACAAAGGTTATGGAATGGTAAATTTTAATTATTCATTATTTTACATTATTACAAAAGAGAGGTAGCCAAAAATTTTATAGTAAGACTTACAGTTGATAAGTAACAAAAAAACAAATGAAAGTATTACAATTAGTACAATTTACACTACAGCCTGTCCTCATTTAACGACTGAGTACCTTACCTAAGACCATATCAGTAAAAGAATTCATCGCTAAACAAGAAGCATACTCTAATGGTAGTGGGTTTGTGTCACCCATCTTTGATATTGTTTTAATGTCGCCTTTGCACCATTTATAAGAACCTAAGAAAGAAGGAACACTGCAGTAGGCCTACTGGCCCATGCGAGGCAGGTCCAATTCTCCCACCGGCTTAAGCCAATCCCTTGACCTAGTCAGGTCAGTCACATTCACTTAAGGAAGGAGCACAGCATCCAGCCTAGTAACACAAGCTAGTCAGGTCCAACTCACACCCACCCACACCCACTCATGTATATATCCAACCTATTTTTAAAACTACACAATGTCTTAGCTTCTATGACAGTACTCGTAAGTTTGTTCCACTCATCCACAACTCTATTACCAAACCAGTGCTTTCCCATATACTTCCTGAATCTGAATTTTTCCAATTTAGAACCATTGCTGTGAGTCCTGTCTATGCTAGATATTTTTAGCATGCTATTTACATCCCCTATGTTAATTCCTGTTTTACACCTCAATCATATCCCCCCTAATTCTACACCTTTCTAGAAAGTGCAGATTCAGGGCCATCAGTCTATCCTCATAGGGAAAATTTCTGGTACATGGGATCAACTTTGTCATCCTCCTTTATACGTTTTCCAGTGCATTTATATCCATTCTGTAATACAGTGACCAAACTGCACAGCATAATCTAAATGAGGCCTAACCAAAGATATATAGAGTTGAAGAACAGCCTGTAGCCAGACAGATTCTGTGTCTGATATTTCTAATCTTACATCTTGTCTAACACAACAGTTTAAATTATCTCTGACATACATCGCCACTCCACCACCCTTCCTGTTGACCCTGTCTGTGTTGAATAGTTTATAACCCTGTATGTTGCATTCAGAAGGCATTTTTCTATCTTTCAAGTTGAACCAGGTTTCTGTTATAGCAATAATATATATATTACCTGCACTTGCAAGTAATCTTAGCTCATCTGTTTTATTTCTTAGACTCCTACTATTTTTATAGTAGACCTTAGGGGAGCTAGTCACTCATTGCCCTCTACTATCTCTTTGTTTGT